GAGCCAGAGGCTGCAGGAGGCTAGAGTTACACCCCTCTCAGCTAGGTGCTAGGGACCAATTTTTCCCCAGGCGCCTGTACGCATGCGCACGGCCAAAAACCACATTTGGAAAGGAAAGAACTGCATTCCAGCTCAGCGTGGGGCATCGCGCCTTGCATCTGAGCACAATGGAGACCCAGGCACCTAGGATGGATCTAAGTTGAAAGCAAGGCAGGGCTACACAGTGAGTTTAAGACCGGCAATGCCTAGCGAGACTCTCTCCAAAAGGACCAGCCCAGAGGCCCTTCAACTCGGGCTCGACACTGGTCATGCTGGAAATACGGAGAGAATTCTGGGCAGACACAGCTTGTGCATAGCGCTTTGGAGTGTCTTTTTGGAGTGTAGCCCTGCCTAGCTAGCCTGGAGTGACATAGTCTCCTGCTTTTCACTCCTGAGTGCTGAATATGTAGGCACAAATCATTCTGGTGGGGATCCCTGCAGTAGTTGCGATCTGTGTGTTACCTTGCATGTTTGGAGCTGTGTGTGTTTTTCTGTGTGTGCACGCGCGCATATGTATATGTGTGTGAGTGTGTGTGTGTGTGTGTGTGTTACCTTGCATGTTTGGAGGTCTGTGTGTTTTTCTGTGTGTGCACACGCGCATGTGTGTGTGTGTGCGTTGTGTGTGTGTGTGTGTGTGAGTGTGTTGCTGTGGCTTCTGTAGGCGGCTGTGCAGCAGGCTATTCCTCCTTGTGTCTGGAGGGAACACACATGGAGGTACTGGGAGTCTTGCACTAAGACTTTCTTTCTGCCTGGGGCCTTAGAGCTTCAGTCTTATTCACTGACCGAGAGGCCATGCTGGACAGCAGCTTGCCCCTCAGGTCCCTCAGTCTCCCGCTGGCACAGTGCTGGCTTACTTGCAAGCATGTACTCATGCAAACATTATACACGGATGCTGGAAAGCCTCTGTACCTCCCCACACTGCTTGTTCACCCTTCTCCAGCTTTCTGAATAAAGTTCCTCACATTCAATTCTTACAGGAAATCCTAAACGAGATTTCCTTTTCTTCCTGGACTTAGCCTTCTCACCGTGGAACTGGGCATCTCTTTTGAGGTGTTTGTTGACCTGGTTGGGCTCATAGTCACACATATCTCCCAGGTACTCATGGTCCAGATGTCACCTGACACAAGCATGCACCTCTGCTCATCTACAAGCTTGCATACTATTTAGCATGCATGAATGCTTGCCTGCCTGCTTCCTTTCTGTCTGCCTTGCTCCTGACATGCTTGCTCGATTGCTTGCACACTTGCAGTCCTTCTATTATTCATTTGCCTTGAAGGTTTCTGGACATTGTCTCCTGTACCACAGGCCAATCGGAAGCTTTCCTTGTTCTGGATGAATGTTTGCTCCTGTGCCCCGCACTCCAAGCTTAACTGTACCTAGATTCCAGGTGTGGACCACCACATTGGGGTGCTCAGTGTCCTGACCCATGTTCACACCCCTGCCAGGCATTCCTCACACAAGCTGTGGCCACATGGCTCGTCTCCATTTAAAACACTCCTGCCTCTTTGCACACCATTCACACTGCCCCTGTGCCTTGGACACCTGTGGAGGCATCTACTGTCATAGAGAGGTAAGTGACCATAGAATCACAGCACCCCATCCTTTCCCTTCCATATCATCATGGCTGAGCTCTCCTGCCAGGCCCTGGGATGAGAACTGAGAGCTAAGATGGGAACACACATATGAAATTTCTTCTCTGGGAGGTTTGAGGTGGGGTTTGGACCCGAGGGCATCAATGGGGACTCAGCCTGAGGAAGAACGAGCCTGCTTGTGTCTTGAGACCTTTGTGTGCCTCATGCTCTGGGTAATTTCCCCATTCAGGAAGGTTCCCAGCCACTCTTGTCTATTGTGATGACTCTTCCTTGATCCTAACTTACCTCTTAGGGGTGAAAGGCAGAGGTTCACTGCCATTCTGGATTGGAGCCTCTGTCACTTCCAGCTGTGAATTTTGCTTGACTCACATGGTGCATCCTGCTGCTCTGAGGCTGTCATCAGGAGACCCTTGTTCAGAGTGGAGATGCCAAAGTACATAGAATGCAGTTATTTTCTTAGTGCTGTCCCTCTGAGGCCAGAGCTCCCTAGTCTCAATGGAATGGGGCTGAGAGCCAGGAAAGGTGGCAGAGGCCTAGAGAGCCAGCATGAGGGAGGGGACCGCAGCAGACTGCAGGCCCCCAGCTCCAAGACCGCCTGGACTGGAAAACTAGATGCAGACTGGTGCCCTCCTCGACCCAGATCAGGCCCTCTGATAGGGAGGCTTCCCCTGACAGCGCACTTGAACAGAAGAGCATTGCCAGTCCTTAGACTCAGCATGGTGGCAGGGTCTGAACCATGGTTTTGCTGATGAGTTCAGCCTGAGGGCAGTGAGGGTAGGGGGGTAGGAAGAGGGAATTCTGGACACTGTCTGCTCTTGAATGGCCTATCCTCCCTGGAGCATCCTGAGGTGTTTTGTCTCTTCTGGTCAGGCATGCCCGTGTTGTCAGGCCAGGGGATGGAAGGAGTGTGGATCTCTGTCAATTCCAGGCAAGCCTGGAAAGGATCTAGGACATCTAGGAGAACTCTGTCTTCCAAGTGGCTTCCTGCCTCCCAAACAACCACAACAACATCAGACTAAATGAAAATGAAAGAAGACAAAGTTGTCCCGAACCTTCGCGGGGCACTCCGGAGTCCTTCCCGAATTTGCCAATGAAGATCGGCAACAGGGCATCCTCAGGAGTCACTAACAGGCCAGCAGCGCCTTGGTGAGAAGCCTGAGCCAGAGGCTGCAGCAGGCTGGAGTTACACCCCTCTCAGCTAGGTGCTAGGGACTGTTTTTTTTTCCTCAGGTGCCTTTGTGTATGCTTATGGCCCATATCCACATTTTAATAAGCAATCCTCATCTTCCATCTACACATCATGTGGCCTGACTCCATCTGTCATTAAACTCTCTTTTATTGTTTCTGCACTATTGTTACTCTTCTGCAGAAGTTGTTGAACCCTTGTGAGTTCTATCCAGCTTCCCTCCTCAGACATTTTCTTATCCGTTGCTCAGGGTCATCTCCTAGTCCAGTTGTTCCAAACCTATGTTGTGCCATCTTTTTAAAAATATTATATATATAATATATAATAAGAGGGCACCACATCTCATTATGCATTGTTGTGATCCACCATATGTTTGATGGGATTTGAACTCACGACCTTGGAAGAACAGCCAGTTCTCTTAACCTTTGAGCCATCTCTCCTGCTCCTGTTTTCTAGTCTTAAGCCCTCTCCCTAATGGTGACTTTACCTTTTGCCAGAACCTGATTTTTCACTGTCAACCTTACTTTATGGATCCTTTCTTTCCAATAACTACAATTCTTTTCAAAATTTATTCATTTATTTAGTATGAGGTGTTCTGCCTGCATGTGTGTTTGTAGCCCAGCTGAGGCTGTAATAATACAGATTGTTGTGAGCCTCTGTGTGCTTCCTGGGTATTGAATTATTATCTTGCAAGAGCAGGCATTGTTCGTAACCAGTGATCTATCTCTATGGCCTCTACTCTTCATTTCTTTACTCCTTTCCCCCCGTTATAGGAAGCACATAAAATTGTAATTTTTCATTATGTATTCATAGGAAACTATGAATTAAGGAATCAACATGTGGTCCTTCCTCTTAAGAGTCTCTGGTAGTACTTCAAAGGCACTCTGTGCTAAGAAAGGTGCCCCTAGTGGGTCATCTCTTACTTGGAGATGTGGTAACAGTGTGTTTGCTTTGGGCTGTGATAATCCTGCAGTATAAAACTAAAACATGCCAACTGCACTCCTGTTTCTCAGCAAGCCCCTCCCTACATGAAATATTTCTCAGGCCAGAGCATTTCATCATGTCAAAAAATTCTTTTTGTTTTTGTTTTTCGAGACAGGGTTTCTCTGTGGCTTTGGAGGCTGTCCTGGAACTCACTTGGTAGTCCAGGCTGGTCTCGAACTCACAGAGATCCACCTGCCTCTGCCTCCCGAGTGCTGGGATTAAAGATGTGCGCCACCAACGCCCGGCTCATGTCAAAATTTTACCCCGTGGATTTCTGATAGCATCAGTTTTTTGTTTTGTTTTGTTCGTTTGTTTGTTTTGGTTTTTCGAGACAAGGTTTCTTTGTGGCTTTGGAGGCTGTCCTGGAACTCCCTCTGTAGACCAGGCTGGCCTCGAATTCACAGAGATCTGCCTGCCTCTGCCTCCCGAGTGCTGGGATTAAAGGTGTGCGCCACCAACGCCCGGCTATAGCATCAGTTAGTATTTGTTTTGGTGTTTTGTCTAAAAGAAAACTGTTTTGTTTTTGTTTTTTTTTGAGACAGAGTTTCTTTTCGTAGCCCTGTCTGTCCTGGAAGTTGCTTTGTAGCACAGGATGACCTGAAACTCAGGGAGACACCTACCCCAGCCTCCCCAATGCATAGATTAAAAACATAAGCCACCCGGTCTGGCTCATAATAGGTTCTTAAAAAGTAGTTTCATAGTCACTACATCTGCTTACCGCAGTAGGTTTGGGGTATTTTCAATAGTATTTGGTTTTCCAGAATTGTAGGCTTTCCCTAAGCAAATCAGATATTTTTGTGAGATTTGGTTGTGTATATTTTTAATCCCATCACAGGGGAGGGAGAGTGAATCACAGGCAGGTGAATATCTGTTAGTTCGAGACTAGAATGATATGTGTAAACAAGTCCAGGGCAGCCACGGCTATGTAGTTTGGCCGTTTCTTTAAATTTAAATTAATAGCAAAAAATAAACGCAAGTCTGTTTCTACCACTGCACTCTAGAAGTCCCCTGGGAATTTGATGATAATAACAGTCATTTTGTCGTCCTCTGGAGTCACCAGCAGGAAAGTGTAATATTCCTTAAAAGCCCAAGGTTTGCAGGTTTTTAGCTTTCAGGAGTTATGCCACTTGTTAACAGAGTCCTAGGAACTCTTCGTGATTATTCATATGCGCATGTGCACCAGGCTTCCGCGTTTGAGTGGGCTGAGCTATTACGTCATTGGGCCGCGCGGCGCGGTTGGAGCTGTGGTTGCCGGAAGTTGAGCGTCGGTAAGTAAGTGCTGGTTGCGGAGCAGGCGCGGGGCTGGCGAGGTTCACTTAGGAAAGTTTAGGCTAGTTTTGGGCTGTTCTGCAGTTTTCTTCACCTGTGTATACAGGATCCCCTCCTTCCACGGCAAGAAATGTTCTGATCCCCGTGTCGGGAGACACCTCGGCTCGCTCATTTTGTCAAGTCCTGCCTTTGTGGTGTGTGTGGACGGGCCCACCAGTGAACTTGTGTCTCTGTTCTGTGAAGGACTTTGATCTTGTTATTTATCTTATGAGGAGGACTTAGTTTTTCCTTTAAGACTTCTCTGAGAAAGGTTGTGCATTCTCTTAAAGGGTTCAGAAATTACAGGCTAATACTTAAAGGAATCAACCTGATAAGGCAAATGCTTGTGTCAGAAAGTTTCTGAGCCAGGTAGGATGGAGTAGAGAGATGACCCCAGGCCGTAGGGAGGCTGAGCCAAGTGAATTGCTATTTAGGACCAGCGTGGGCAATCTGACACAGACCTTTTCGCAAACTGGGAAAGGGGCCTGAGGTGTAACTCAGTGCTAAAGCATTTCCTCAGCATCCCAGGACTCCGGGTTCAACGTGTTACCAGCACATTCCAAATTGAGAGCGAATTCTACCTGTATTTCCGTGTGCAATCTTATTTTAATTCTTAAAAAATACTCGTAATTAACGAGTGCATGTATATATGTGTGCTCGTATTGAATGTAGGTATCAGTAGAAGTCTCCAGAGACAAAACATGTTAGATCCCGACAGCACTGGAGCTACAGGCATGGATGCTGGAAACCAGACCCAGGGCCTGCAAGAGCTGTACACACTCATCACCACTGAGTCAAGATGTCTTTCCTCTGAAAATTAATTTAAAAAAAAATGAATGCGGTGCAGCCCATGCTGGCTTTGAACATTCAGTGTAGCAGAGGCTGGCCTTTGAGGTTTTTATACGTCTGCTTCCACGTCCTTGGATGCTGGGGTTACATGTGTGTACCACTATTGCCTCTTTTATCTAGTGCTGGGAAATTGAACCTTAGGTTTCATGCATGCCTAGCAGTACTATATCAACTCAGCTACACTCCCATTCTAATCACCTTATTCTTTTTTTTTTTTTTCCTTGAGACAGCCCAGGTTCTGCCTCTGCCTACCTAGCCCTGAGATTAAAGGTGTGGGCCACCATGGCCTGGCCAAATCACCTTATTCTTATTCTTTTTTTTTTTTTTTTCCTTGAGACAGCCCTGGTTGTCCTGAAACTCATTTCATAGACCAGGCTGGCCTTAAACTCACAGAGATCCACCCACCTCTGCCTCCCTAGCCCTGAGATTAAAGGCGTGGGCCACCATGGCCTGGCTAATCACCTTATTCTTTTTTTTTTTCCTTGAGACAGCCCTGGTTGTCCTGAAACTCATCTCATAGACCAGGCTGGCCTTAAACTCACAGAGATCCACCCACCTCTGCCTCCCTAGCCCTGAGATTAAAGGCGTGGGCCACCATGGCCTGGCTAATCACCTTATTCTTAAAACCTGTTCAAATGCACTTTCCTTCTCAAATGTACTAATTTGGTGAGTTTTGTTGTTGTTTTGGCTTTTGTCCTTGTAATTTTTTTTTTTAAACCTGTTAACAGACATGTCTGTGACTGTAGACTTGACAGCTCTGTTTCAGGCTTCTCCTTTCCCATATACTGTGTAATTTTTGTCTTAGGACACCTCAGCCCACTGGCCTCAGTTTGTGAAAGCTCATGACTTCCTGTTGCTTCCAGCTTGCCTCTCCTAGTTCTTACTCAAAAAGTCATGTGAGGAGCGGAGGACTGTGGCCAGCTGTCACAGCTCATTGCCTTGTTGGAGTCACACTTGCTCTTAGTTGACGCACGTATCTTTGGAAACTGCTAAGTTGCCTTCCTCTTTCTCTGTAGCTAAATGCATTTAGTTATTTACCCATAATGAGCTCTACTAATATATAAGAGTTTTCATATCACTTATTAGCAAATCCCAACATAAACTTTCTAGGTGTCTGGCATACTGTATATGCTTAACAAATATGCATGAATGCACTTAATAAAGACACATTTGAGGGGCTGGAGAGATGGCTCAGTCCAGAGGTCCTGAGTTCAATTCCCAGCATCCACAAGGTAGCTCACAACCTTCTGTAATGAGATCTGGTGCCCTCTTCTGGTGTGCAGACATACATGGAAACAGGATGTTGTATTCATAATAAATAAATAAATCTTTTTTTTAAAAAAAAAGACACATTTGAATGCCCAGGCTTTGCTTGTATGCATAAGCCCTAAAGATGAAACAGGATCCCATAACCCCACTTTAATGAGGTGGTAGTGTATGCCTTACTCTCAGTCCTTGGGAAGCTAAGGCAGAGAAGAATCGAGAGTTCATGGTGCTAGGTGTAGTGGGCTACGGGCTTTTATTTTGAAAGTGTTGCTGTGGGAAGCAGGACAGTGAAGAATATTAAGTAAGGAGGGCATGTGTTGTCATCCCTAAGTCACTGAGGCAGCAACTGGTACCTGTCGAGGTTCTATGGCAGTGATCCAGGTGACAAAAACAGCAGCCTCAGGTCATGTGCAGTGTGCCAACAGCCACCTCATAACTCTTTGCTTATGGTTTCTGTTACGCCTGCCTTCTCTGAGGTTAGACTTAGGGTCAGTTGGTCTCATTCTTCCCCCTTCCCCAGGGAAATGAATTCCACGGATGCCTTCCTATTCTTCCTGGGGTTTTTTTTTTTTCTCCCTCTCCCAGTGTCTGAATACTAACTTGTGTACTCCTAAGCAAGTTAAGAGGCAATCGGAATTTTCATGTTCATTGCAGACTGCACAAGTCTTATTCGCTGGCTCTTGGTCCAACTCCAGAATTTAGGGTTCTCCCTACCTTCTTTGCCCAGCCACACTGCTTTGAACTGGCTTCTGCATGTCAGGCTGGACATGTGTAGAAAGGAAGTCTTTTCAGGGAAGCTAGCTGTGGGGGAGGGGTGCAGATTCCTGTCATTCCCTAAAACCCTGTTAGTGACCTGGTATACACCATCAAGTTCTTCCTGCAGTCAGACTCATGTCTCCAGCAAGCTCTGAGCACTGTCTGCATTATGGCTGTGGGAAGCTGTTGTCCATTTCCTGTGCCCGCCCCTCAGTCCTCCTCTCAGCTGCCTTCCCTGGCTCTCACTGAGCTCACAGTCACCATCAGCAAAGGCTCTTCTCCTGTCTCTATTGCTCCCCACCCACTCTTGGTTTAGTTTAGTTTAGTTTAGTTTTTACATCTCAACCAAAGTTTTCCTTCCCTCTTCTCCCAGTGTGTCCGCACCCCCATCCTCCCACCGCCTACCCCCACCCCCGCCATTGTGAACTGTTAGTTAAAGATGTGTTACATTTGTTTATGCTGTGAAACATTTATTTAATGGTGCAAAAATGTGTTGCCTTCTTTAGTGCTGCATTGTTTAACTCTGAAGCTGTGTTACTTTGCCTGTCTAAAGCGCCTGATTGGTCTACTGAGTGTGTGGTAAAGATGAGGTGTAGAGTGCTTTTGGAAGATGCAGTGTCCAAGATTGGACCCGGTGTGAAGGCCTTCTGTAGAAAAGATGGCAGGGCTTAGATGTAAAGGGAGAAAGAAGCCATTGGATGGTTCTGGAATTAATGTGAAATAAAAACAGTTTCTTCTTTTTTTTTTTTTCTTCTTCAATTTTGAGATGGGTTCTTACTCTAGTATAGGCTGGCCTCAAGCTCATCTTCTTGCGTTACTGTCGCCAGGGCTGGGATTGCAGATGTGTGCTAAAGTCCCTGCCTATCCTTCTCTCTTTGGCCTGCCATAGTGTGTGTGAAGCCCAGAAGCAGACAATGGGTGTCCTGCCACTCTACCTTATTCATTTGCAGCAGGATCTCTCATTGAACCTGGAGCTAGGTTTGCGGCAAGTAAGTTCCATTGCCTCCACAGCATTCAGGTTACAGGCACACATGACTGTTCCTGGCTTTTTACATGGGAGATGGGGATTTGAACTTAGGTCTTTGTGCTTGCTCACTAAGTGCTAATACCACTGAGCCACCTCCTCAACTCCAGTGTATCTTCCTGATCCAGTACTCGTTGGTTCTGCTGCTGCCACCTGCCCCTATTTCTCAACATTTAGAAGTATGTCTGGCTATTTTATTTTGCTTTGCTTTGTAACCACAGGATATTATTTCTCTTTTTTCTTTTAATTGAGAGGGAACCAGCCAGGTTCACATTTCAGTGTGTGAGGCTCAAAAACACAAAAAATCATTCCACTCAGCCTGCTCTAGGTCCCTGTTGAGAATGCTCTTCTGGTTTGTAAAACCTTGGCTAAAGGGTGTTCCTGGTAAACAATCTAGTCTAGTGATTGCTTTGGTCTCTGAGTTCATATGAGCTTTGCTCATGTTGAATTGAAGATGTGTTAGTTAGGGTTTCAATTGGTATGAAGAGCCACCATGACCAAGGCAACTCTTTGTGTGTGGGGGGCAGGGGTAGGGGAGGTTGTTTCGAGACAGGGTTTTTCGGCTTTCCTATAACTTGATTTGTAGACCAGGCTGACCTCAAACTCACAGAGATCACCTCCCAAGTGCTGGGATTAAAGGTGTGTGCCACCACAGCAACTCTTACAAAGGAAAATATTTATTTGGATGGCTGACAGTTCAGAGGTTCAGTCCGTTATCGTTGTGGTGGGACATGACAGCGTGCAGGCAGACACGGTGCTGGAGAGGTAGCTGAAAGTTCTACACCTTGAATAGGTAACTGGGCATGGATTGCACATATGAGACCTCAAAGTCTGCCTCCACAGTGACATACTTCCTCCAACAAGACCACACCTACTGCTAAAAGTTACAGCTCCTAATAGTGCCACTCCCTTTGGGAGCCATTTTCTTTGAAACCACCACGGAGGACCTTGTTTCCTTGGTGTCTTTTATCCTCTCTGGCTCTTACGTTCTTCCATGGAGTTCCCTGGGCTCTGAAGGGAGGAATTTGATTGAAACAAACCATTTAGGACTGAGTGTTCTAAGGT